ATAAGATTCGCATGTACTTTTTGTGTGTTTGCACAAGCTTTCGTTTTTGAATGTGTCAGGCTTTTCTTTTTTTTTTCAGTTGCGAACCTGCAATCTTGTGAGTTCGCGCACGTTGGCGCATGGCATTCCCTGCCAGAGTTAATCAATTATACAAGTTGCGAAACTGCTTTCCAAAATCCGGACACGCAGTTAGCCCAATCTTTTGGGAAGTTAGCTGACGTTTGCGCCACCTGGGAGCAACAACACAAAACAAAAATAATGCATTCTAAGAGAACTTGTTGTTGGGCTAGTTGGTAGATCATTTCAAAAGTTAATTAGAGCGCGAAAACTTGACACAATCACTCACACACGCACACACCGTGTGTTTGATGCATGGGTGTGTGCGTGTGTGAGTGATTGTGTCAAGTTTTTGCGCTCTAACTTTTCAAAAATAATGCGTTTACTAGTGGGCATGCGCGTCAACAGGTGGCACAACAATCTGCTGACTCCCGACAAGGGGGCCAATGACGTGTTCGGATTTTGATACATAGAGCCTATGGGGATTTTCGCAACTCATATGATTGAACAATTGTTCCGTGCAAGTTCACAGTAGATACCAAGCTTTGGCGAACTCTCCTCAACGTAACTTCACTTAGGCGCAAATAAAACACCATGAAACAAACATGCACGATGTTTGTTTACATTGATATGTCGCCGCGAGATCCTGTTCCGAGACGAAGCGCAGCGCAGCATCACCAATGTTCGCTGCAATCTCTCTTCGCTGGTTCACAGCTCAGAAGAAACACACGTGGCACAAATTGTGTATCGTAAACTCACAATAATATTTTCAGCATGACAGACCACCACACATAATTCGAATTCACTCTGTCGAAGGGAGACACACACAGCCAATGGGACTCCGCCCAGTTCGAAGCGAGGGTGGCCATGTTGGGCATGTTCATCATCGGTAGGGTCTGCGGCTTGAGTGTAGTCTGGTGCATGATGTCACCTGAAGTGTGGGTTTATTGGTGGAGGCTCGTGTGAATTCGCCTTTGAGGGGAAAATGCCGCTGCCTTCTTAAGTTGTACCAGACTATAGTACACTCTAGCGAGGAGCAGGCGACATGCTGCCCGCGTGTCACTAATGCCTTGCAGTGAAGATGTTTTGTTTTTCACAGGTGCGTTTTTTTTTTTTTTTTCCAGTGGCACCGAAGAGGCTTGACGTTCCCCTTTGTTTACGGCAAAATTGTGACCAGGTATTGCTGGAAAGCATAACTTTTGGAGTAAAACAGATAGCTAGGCGAGTTGGTATGTATCCATATTGTAACTTTTTTTCTGCAAGCTAAAAAATGTTACAATATGCATAACTCTTGGGGCAACACACTACCTGGCACAGCAAACGATTAGCCCTAATCACTTCGAATAATGTCAAGTTCCGTGCATCCCACTTTTTGTATTTTCCATTATTTCAAAAACCCGCTTAAATCAGAAATTTTTCACTGTCCAAGTGACTTTGAATTAACAATCTTTTACTTGCAGAGGAATATTCAATCATTTTGCAGATGAGTGTTATGTAAGCAAGCTTTCTTACGTGGGATGGTGCATGCTTGAGGTTAAGAAGACAAATGCTCGGTTGGCTGAAGCTAAGACAGTGTCAATATGGTAATGCCAAGTTAAATCAGACTGAAGATGAACACCACAGTACTTGTGGGTTGACAACAGTTGAAGGCTAGCATTATTGAGTAAGTAGGCTGTAGAAAGCGGTCACATTAGCTTTGTTTTAGGTGCATTTAGGGGTATTAGCCATGGGGGTCACCAAGTTGTAACTTCATCAAGGTCAGTTTAGAGGGCAAGACGGTCAGCAAAATTAGTAATTTTCCTAGATCGTATACCACAATCATCTGTGAATAATCGAGTTCTAGAGAAAACATATTTCAGCAAGCCATGAATAAAAAAAATTAAGGAAAGGAATGGACCAAGTGCGCTGCTTTAGGTTGAGGGACTGCTGAGTTTGCAGGAACAGAAGAGTTGGAGCCATTAGCACAGGTGTGTTGTCTTTTGAAAAGAAAGTCTAATCCCAGCAACAAGGTTAGGATGAATAATGAGGTGTGTTAATTTGATAAGAGGCCTGTGATGAAGAATGATATCCAAAACCATAGGGTAATCAAGAAACTCTGCATCCACGTGAAACAACTGCTGAAAATAAATCGTGAGTAAATCTGGGGAGTTGTGTATCGCATGAATAGCCCTTGTGAAAACCATGGTGATATCTAAAAATGATGTCATGCTGTTATAGGCAACCTATTGGTACTTGAGTTGTACTTGAGAAAGGAACAGCCCAGTCATATGATTTGAAAATAGCCATTCGCCAATCATGACGACAACGAGGCTGGTAACAAGTGAAAAAAGTTTTAAAAAGCATCTCGTCATTGACACCGAGAAGGTGACTAGAGCTGGTAGTAGCTTTTAGGTTATTCAACAAGGCATAAATTTGCTGATGATAATTTCTGACAGATAAATGTTAGGCAGTGACTGTTAACGCGAGTAAAAGAGTAATGTCTTCATTGGTGAAAACCGTTGAAAAGGCATCGTTTAGCAATTGTGAACCCTCAGTTTTATTGACTAGTTCACCATAAATCGCAGTTAGATCTATGTCAGGATGAAAAATTGGACTGATGATTCACCAGAATCTATAAAAACCATTGGTGGACATCGGGGCAGGTATTTACTGAAGAAATGGCGAGTTCTTTTAAGCAGCGGTTGATGTTCCTTATCACAAATACGGTACTTCTCCCATGTCGAAAGAAAACCTGCATCAATTAACCAGCGGTACAGGAGCTTTTTCTTCTTGTTAAGACGATGAAGCCAATGCGTGAATTTTCGTGATAACAGATGGGAGTAGTGGGCACCTAATCCTTCACAAGGAATTAAGTTCAACTGAATGAGATAAATGTTGAGCAAGGAAGTTATCAGAAAAGATTTGCAGTTCTGGGTTAATCATCTCAAAATTAGTGCGGCTATAGCAATGAATTTCCTTAATTGTTGTTTTCCTCTTGCCGTACAGATGCATCCGGTAATACTGTCAAGATCGGATTGACCATCTGAATACAACACATACATAAAAATGTCTTTATTGTTTTTTAGGGCGACATCAAGAATATTTGCTGCAGTAGCGGAGCGACAGGTAGGACTAATAATTACCATTGAAAAAAAGAAAAGTCCAAGCAGGATGAAAGAAATGCATAGGCGTCAATGTCACTAAGATAGGTGACCAGTAAAAGAGCGAGGGATAATGGGATGCACCATCTGCTGCCAGGTTCCGGTTCGAGGAGAGTAGACGATGGCGAACCACTCCCCGTAAGCCTAAAATAATTCGGGATTCGTGCGCGCGGTCACACGTTTATCTTCGTCCTGCTAAACCATGGTCGGTTGTCCAGCCGTTGGCTACTCCAACTCGAGTGTAAAAGGCAAATGCAGGTATCGAATCCCATAGAACGAAGAAAAAAAAATTTGGAGGGCTGCGGCTGTGAAAAGAGTCGCAGCGACAGGTAGCCTTCGGGTACCGAACGCTAGAGCCAGACTGTGCGAAGACCATTTTATCATAGGTACGTGTGTATTCCACATTAATAAAAAGCTTACGCATGAATTCGCGGCGAATATTATATCGAGAAATAAATTGTCGCGCCGGCGCGCCCAGCCCAGATATTATGGGAACGCATGGGCGAAATCTAGCTGCCATATGAGATGAGCGCCGGCCATTGCACCCATACATATGACAAAAAGCGTGAAAGCTTCTCTCAAGAGCAAGCTTACACGAAGCGCTGGACGAGTGCATTTGCGTTTATCTTGCTCAAGCCAATGATGTCGGCTGAAGCAGTGATCCCGAAATGAACTTTTAGCACACTGCTACAGTCATCTCCATCCCCTGAGATCTTTAAAATAATGTTTTTTCATCTGCAGTAATGCATCATACAATGAAAACTGTCTTCTGTATCGACTGATCTGCTGGCCAAACTGACAGTACCCCAGAGCAGCATAAAAGCATTGTAGATCATTTTGGTGCGATAAAAAAGTTTCCTTATTGTTCAAGGCTTCTGTAGCTTGTCATCGTCGCAGTCATGATTAGCAGAAACAAAAAACCAACTTCTAAAGCATTGACATTGCATGGAGAGGTGCTTTTTTTTTTTCAATGGAGCGGTACAAAAATGCGCCCGTGCCGCTGCTAACCCGTGTGATGCATCGAACCGGAAGCAGTTGTATCCCACAGTTCCCTGCGATTGCCTATATTACCAGTCACATAATAGAAATAGTGGCCCGATCGATGTTTCGCAAACTGAAGTCCCCAACGACATTCCCATAAAATATCAGTTGTCAGTCAGCGCTCAGTGTGCCTTGTGTGCCTGCAATGTCGTCTCACACTGTAAATATGGAGTCTAGCACACGTGCCATTAAGAGTCAAACGTGTGTGTTTTGCATTCAGCTTCTTCTGCTACTTCTAAAATTGATATAAAACACATGTTTGCCTACATCTAGAATTTTCACCACCCACTCACCCACCCGGATCACCTCATGTGGTTGCTATTTGGAAACAAACTTAAACACAAATAAATAAAAACAGGCATTCCAGTCTCAGTGCCATCGCTCCCATTACCTGAATTATAGTACTCAAACCTCGATACTATACTACACTCAACCCTCAATATAACAAACTCTGACATAAAGAAACATCAGTTGTAACAAAGTGAATAAAGAAAATAGTTTTGCAATAGATACAGTATAAGGAATATACCTTTATAATGAGTTTTGAATATAACGAACTTATTTTCGTATAAGACACAACTTTCTTATAATAAGGTTTCAGTTCACGGTACATCCTACTACACTGTCGGACGACTTTTGAAAGTAAGAGCGAACCTGTTTACATAAACGAGATGTTTGCAGGTGTCTTAACATGAGAAGCTTGCGCCTCCAGTTTCCCGACTGCCGATCCCTCTGATCCCCTCCATAACGAAATGTGGTCACCTGCTGGGGAGGGCTGGTGGGTGACTCGTCACTGTCACTCATGGGACGCTTTTGGCGCGGAGGCCGAGCAGAGCAGTCCTCTAGAATGCTGGGCGTCTGCAGTACCAGGCGAGCCGGAGCCTGGTTGCTGTTCAGGTCCTTCTCCTCCTCACTGTGGGGTGATAGTTGCACGGCATCCGTCTGTGTCTCACTGTCTACCATGCGACAGCAGCTGCTGCTGGAGCCACTGCGACGGTGCGTGGCCCTCCGGGAGCGGCCTTTGCTGGACGGTGACCCCACTGCCTGCTCCACGAGCTCGGGACTGCACAACATCGTTCACTCACGCCATTTTGGTACTGTGTCCAGATTCCATTAAAATGCATGCACAGTTTGTTTCTTGCTCAAATCAACAAAGTACTTATGACATGCAATTTCAATACAGGCTTCTTGAAGGCAAAAAAAAACGTAATCCAATACAGGCAATTTCTAGCAATGAAAATTGGGCAAGGATCATGCTTAAAGAAAAAGTCCCTCTCCAAGGATTTTCTTTGCGGATATCTTCGAAGTCCCTCTCCAGGGATCCTCTCCATGGCACCCATACCGAGGCATAACAGAGGCATAAAGCCTCGGTATGGGTGCCATGGAGAAGATTCGTCAGTGGGCGCGGCGGCAATGCAAAAATGCATCACTCAGACCCCTTCTTGTTTGACGTCCAGGTGAGAAAGTGATCTGGCAAATGCTTTCGTAGCTGTAATGTATGCTTAGTCTTGCTGCCATGCACACACATTTTGCTCAAATGAATCCTGGACCCCACGACACTGGGCTTGCAGAACAGCTCAAAATAATTGCTACAATTCTGGCAGTGATCCCACTGGGGACTGCCAATATGTTGCAATTTTTGGAGCAGTAATATTTTAGTTTTGGAGCACTTTTGAGCAGTAAATATTAGTTTTGGAGCACTTTGGAGCAGTAAAATTTTAGTTTTGGAGCATTTCGAAGCACTAGAAGTCAACTGAACTATCACAGGCACGCAGTACGACTAAAAACAGCATTATCAGAAGCAAAAAGAAAGTTCTTCAATGAGACGCTGGGAAACTTCCTTAAAAGCTCGCCCAGCAAATTTTGCCGTTTTTTGGGAGCAAAGAAATCAAAAATAGACCAGATAAGTATAGAAGATGCTCCTGTGACAGATGCACAAAGGATAGCAGATGGTTTCAACGAGTTTTTCCATTCAGTCTTTAATAGAGATGCACAAAGTTCCGTCGCAGGCGAGATAAACTATTCCTGCGCATGCCCCATGGAGCCTCTTTCGTTTCATCAGGAGGGCGTGTTTGAACAACTGTTGAACTTAGATCCAAAGAAAGCCTGTGGCCCTGACAGAATACCAACGGTATTCTTAAAGCGATACGCCGAGTGGGGGTCTTTCTATCTGGTAATTATTTTTGAACAATCTTTACGTAGCCATTCCGTTCCACAAGATTGGCGTTGCGCTGCTGTTATACCCGTGTTTAAAAGTGGAAATTGTACGCATCCAAACAACTATCGCCCTGTATCCTTAACCTCTGTATGCTGCAAGATCATGGAGCACGCAATCGCTAAACATATTATTCATTTTCTGGAAACAAATAAGCTGCTTTGCGCCACTCAGAATGGCTTCAGAAGGGGCCTATCCACGGTGACACAACTTATCGAAACGGTTCACGACTTTGCGCGGGCTTTGGATGAACACCAACAAACTGATGTAATTTGCATCGATTTAAAAAAAGCGTTTGACAAGGTTTCACGTGGTAAGCTGCTTTATAAGCTGCATCAAATCGGTATCAGTAATGATGTCTTAAAATGAATTGAAGCTTATCTAACAGGGCGGAGGCAAGTAGTGCGTGTTAATAATTCTGTGTCAAGCTTTTTGGATGTACTTTCCGGGGTACCACAGGGCTCGGTGCTAGGCCCTTTATTGTGTTTAGTTTATATCAATGATGTAGCCACAGTCATTCAGCCGCCAGTGGTCTTGTGACTGTTTGCAGATGACTGTTTAATTTATGCTCCAGTTAACTGTGAAAACGACGAGGAAAAAATTAACCAGTGTCTTGAGGATCTCCATACCTGGTGTGAAAAATGGGATATAGAAATTAACTACGCCAAAGCCACTTTTGCGAATATTACCCGAAAGAAAAACGTTCTTGATTTCCAGTATCATATGGGAAGTGCAATTTTGACAAATGTTTCTAGTTTTCGATATCTAGGCGTTGTGATATCAAATGACCTAAACTGGCACAGCAACGTTGAAAATGTGTGTTCCTCATACAAAAAACTGTGTTTTCTTCGAGTAAAACTACGAAACGCAACCAAAGACGTCAAACTGATGGCATATAAAACTTTTATTCGGCCTGTTTTGGAGTATGCTGCCATAGTTTGGAGTCCCCACCAAAAAGGCCTAATAAATGAGCTGGAAAGAATCCAAAGACTTGCAGCCAGGTTCATATGTTCAAGATACAAAAAAACAGACTCAGTTACCGAGATGCTAAAATCATGTAAATTGGAACTGCTTGAAATTAGGTGACAGAAGAACAAAATAAAATTATTTCAGATTCTCCAGGGTCAAATAAATATTGATAAAAGTATGTACATACGGGAACCTGGTAGAATTAGCAGAAGAATAAACCATAGTGCAGCCATTAGAACATATGTCACCCGCACAAACGTCTTTCGGTATTCGTTTTCCCCAAATGTTATCGAAAACTGGAATGCGCTACCTGCACATATTGCTGAGTGCACGGATGCAAGGGCTTTTGAACATTTGCTTGACAACTATATGTTACCTAAAAATCGCTGGATGATGTGTTGATGTTTTGCTTTCCTTTTGTCATGTCAATGTTGATGATTTTTTTTTGTTATTGTTGATAGTTGACATTACTTGAGTGTTTTTATATACCAATTATTACTTTTATGTACTCCCTTCCTTTAATGACCCACAAATGTGGGTTAACAGTATGCTCAAATAAATAAATAAATAAAATTTGACTTTTGGAGCATTTTGGAGCAGGTAATCTAGCAATTAAGAACATTTTGGAGCAGTAAAATTATAGTCCTGGAGCGTTTTGGAGCAGGTGATCTTTCTATTAGAAGCATTTTACAGCAGTAAAAATTTCGCTCTGGAGCAGGTAATCTTACTATTAGGAGCACTTTGGCATAGGTAAAGGGTCAAACCTCATTATAACGAAGTTGAAGGGGAGTCATAATTACTCTGTTATAACCATTAGTTCGTTATAGCCGTTATCAATTTCTGCCAACAATTAGCCAGCAAGAGAGAATGTACCCACTACCGAATATCAAAGCAGCCCACCACGCAGATAACAGCTGTCGGAAGGCAAAAAACTAGCAAAATAATAAAGAACAATGCACCTTTACTTCCACTAAACTCGGCACACCAGCTGGAAGATCACTTCGAAGAAAAAAGTTCATAATCGGCTTTTACCGACTCTTCTTCACGCGGATGACTGCTCTTTAAGCTTCAGCAGCCATTTCAAGTCCGTCCTTGTAGTCATCGTAAGCACCAAAGCGTCGCAGCATGTCTGCCATATCCAGCACTTGCGAAGGAGTTGGTACAATCGGTTTGCTAACATTAGGCTCCGGGGTGTCGACACATATGTCACTGTCGTCATGCACCACCGTCACCGCGTGCACGATTTCCTCATCTGACAACTCTTTCATTGCCACCGCATCAGCATCAGCACCGACGTACCTGCAGAAAGTTGAGCACAATGCCGGCGTCAAGGAGAGTGGCCCACGACGTCTAGGCCTGGTTGCCCCTGGCACCCTTACTGGCGATGACTTCGTGAAATGTTCGACAACTTTTTTTTTTGTCGACGCCGGACTCAATGGTTTCAGCATTGCCGACTTTTGCTTGACTATTATATTTTTACGCTTATGTTTGCCGCTGCTGTTGTCGATCTCCTGTCAGGCGGCGAAACTAATAGAGGTGGTGTTGCTCATGCACAGTGAACATCAAGGAACATAGCCCCGATCTCCGCCGTCCCAGGGCGGAGATGAAGGGGAGGAGGAAGTCAGATGCACAGACGGGTGAATGCGTTCTACAGGAGAAGGGAGGTCGGCTGACGTGCACGCTGTGTGAGTTGCTGTCCGGGCGAGTTCATTAGTTCCTGAGGAAAGGGGATGCAGGGAGACACACCCCACGCGCATGTTGGCAGGCGGCTCCCGGCGAGCGCAAGGCGCAAGTAATGAATAACCACAGTCATGATGATACGTAAAACGTAGCACGCTATAAGATATTGAACTGACGTATATCAAAATTATTAGTAAATGCTCGTTGTTGAAAAAGGATGGTTCGTTATATCCATTGTGAGAAAATTTTAACTTGGTTAAAACGAGGTTTTGAATACATGGGCTTCTATAAGAATTTCAAGGGGAGTTACAACTGCTTCGTTATATTCATTAGTTCGTCATATTGTCCCGTCGCTCCAGGGGGTGTCGACAAGATTTATTGATGTTCGAGCAACAGGGCTCTAACCAAGCGCGTCGGTTGGGCTTGTTTGCCAGAGCGGGGGTCCACGCGCACTTCTTTCTTCTCTGTGGTGTGAGCCTTCACCTTGGCATACGACCCACTACTAGAAGTAGGTGGCAATATTCCTCCTCAACAAAAAAAAAAGAAAGAGCATCATCCCGATGCTGTAAAGTTATTGAAAAAAAAACAAAACAAAGTAGGTTAAACAATGAAAAAAGGCACCAATAATCAAATGTTAGACGCGATAAGTTCACCAATGATGAGGCAATTGTCAGAGCACAAATAAAAAAACACAGGAAAAGTGGTCTTTTAGGAACGCGCAAAATAGGGCTTCATGCGCACCACGTGAACTATGTCAGAGGTCGGTTGTTTTCGTTGTGCCCATCGTGACGACGTAGCGTCCGGAACCACTTCGTAGTTTACGTTGCTCACGCGGCGTGTTACTTTATACGGACCGAAGTATCTGCTGAGCAACTTTTCGGAGAGGCCACGGCGTCGAACAGGGGTCCAAACCCAAACTTGGTCTCCCGGACTGTAAGATACGTCATTGTGACGCATATTGTAACGTCGTGCATCGACCTGTTGCTGCTGACCAATGTGTAGCCGGGCGAGCTGGCCAGTTTCCTCGGCACGCTCTGCAAATTCTTCTGCGTCAGTTGTTAATCGATCAGCGCCTTCATAAGGAAGCATCGCATCCAGCATCGTCTGAACTTCGCGGCCGTAGAGAAGGCGAAACGGTGTAAATCGGGTTGTTTCTTGAACGGCGGTGTTATAAGCGAACGTCACATAAGGCAAAATGC